AAACCAAGGCTCTGATACCAACTTCTAACATCCAAAATTTTACGCCAAATTTAAACTTTTTCAATCATAAATAAAACCAAATAGTATTTTTTTACAAAAATGTTTTCAATCATTATTCATTAGAGTGTCCCAATAACCAGATCATAAGGATGAGGAGCAGTACGGTCACGCCTTCGCCTTGCCATGATCTCTTGAAGTACCTGAAACAATAACTGAAAACTGTAAGCCCGAGTGCTTAGTGAGCTACCCCCAAAATACCAATACCACACTGATAATACCATATCCGTAATAATCAATCAATCAACATGCATACTGGGCCATCGGCCTAACTGGACCGCCCTACAGGGCCTACAGTCTATCTGAATCTGTCCCGAGCCTTTGGCATAACTGGACCGCCACGTAGGCCTATAGTCTCCCCGGACCGCTCATAGGGTGTGTTGGCCTTCAGCACAAAGCAGGACCACCTCAACCCAAGCAACAAGCAAATAACCATGTGCTCATAACTAACATATACTGGCATATACAACATCAAGCATATTTATCTTACTGATCACCAAACATAGAAATCTCTCATAACTAGAGCACTGACCTAGCAGGTCACAAACATATCAATCCCTACGGATCATAAGAGCATAACATACTGTCTATCCTGATTCCGATCTAACAGATCATATCCACATGTAGCATACCATAACGATAACAACTAAAGGGCCGGCCTTGGTGCCTTAGACCCTATCGATATAGTGAGGATAACTCACCTTGCAGATGTCGACTCAGTAGATAAACTTCAACCCTCGGATCACTGCCACAAACTCCACCACCTATTACCATAGTATAATCATACCCATAAGTTCCCAACCTTTCAAGGTAACCCAAAAGCCAACTAATCAAACCCTGGTCAAAGTCAAAGTCATCAGTCAAGGTCAACAATCCATGTTGACCTTGACTCGCCGAGTACCCTCGGCTACTCGCCGAGTACCCTCGGCTACTCGCCGAGTTCCTTGAAGTACTAACCCACTCGCCGAGTCACCTCGATGACTCGTCGAGTTCCTTCGGTTTACGATCGAGACCCCAAGGCCACTCGTCGAGCTTCCTTCTTGCAACTCGACGGTTACACGCGCATACATAAATTGGGGAAACCTCAACCGACTCGCCGAGTTGTTCATCCACTCGTCGAGTCTACGACAATCTTCATCGGACTCGCCGAGTTGTTCTTCCAACTCGCCGAGTTCATGCCTATCTTCATATGACTCGCCGAGTCGACCATGCGACTCGCCGAGTCCCTTCAGCCCTTTTTGCCATACAGACTCATTTGAGCCATGCAGCGGCTTCAAACTACAGATCCAAGATTCTATGGCATGCTTTTCACGTAAAGTTGCAAACTTTACGTGCATGCATGGCTACAAAGGCTATTAATGTCAAATCCAAGCCCTCAATGGGGGTTTCATACTCAAAGAGGCTTCATACAGGACCAAATTCGGAGCTTTATGACTCTGGAACCCAAGAAGGGTACATATCTGAAGTTACAATTTCAGATCTAGCTCATATCCCACATTACCATCTCAACCAAACCATAAAAACCCTAGATCTCAACCAAAAGAGGTCTAGAAGGAAAAAGAAGAAGAGGTGACGACTTGATACCTCCAAATGATGCTATCTGAGGTAGATTTTAGATTTCCCACACTTCCTTGCTCCTAGCCTTTTGTTCTCCAAGCTCTTCTTCTCAAAAGATCTCCTCTCCAAAGCTTTAGACACACAAGAATGAAACACCACACGAATTAGGGTTTTCTGAGCTCTCAAAGGACTGCAAAGAGGCCAAAGGAGGCTTATGCTTCCTTAAATAGGGTGAAAACCCCGGGATTTAGGGTTTCATCTGCCAGCACCTACTCGCCGAGTCCCTTCATGGACTCGGCGAGTAGGCCACTAAACACGCGATCCCACCCCGCTGCTACTCGACGAGTAGGGAAACCAACTCGTCGAGTAGGACTTAAAACCAAAGAAATTCTTATTTAAATTAATACCTTAGAATCGGGGCGTTACAGAGCAACTCCAGACCATTTGAGATGTCCTTTTGGACTCTTAGAAGTGTGTGAAGTCATAAAAATCATATCTTGGAAGCTAAGACTCAGGAATGTATTTGTTAGTGACCAACTAAGTGAGTTTATGGACTTAATTCATTATTTGACCCCCATCCATGCATGAAAAATCATAAAGTTTGCAACTTTTTGGCTTAGGACATTATTTTGAGCTTGGATCTAAGTTTTGGACGTAAAGGCTGAATGGATTAAGACTTAGGATTGAAAATGGGCTGACTGGCCAGTATGCTGAGCGTACTCTAGAGTATGCTTCGTGTACTGGGTCAGTGTCCCGACTCTGGATTGTCATCAGCGTATGTTGGGCGTACGAGCCATGTACGCCGTGCGTACGCCGTCTGTGGAATTGAGAGATTTTTGGCATCGTGTATTAATTAGGCTTTGGACTTGTTTAAGTTGGGCCTCGAGCCCACCTGTTGTAGCAAGTCATTTTTGGGCTTAAGGCCATGTTGGGGGTTCTTGGGCCATATTGGGCTTTAGAGGCCTTATAGTTAGGCTTGGATGCCTTTTTGGGCTTTTTATGGATTTGGGCGTTAGAGGGAGGGAGACCCATTGAGGCAAGGGTAAAGGAACCCTTTTTTCCTTAAGTCAAGAATTAGGGTTTTAGACTTTTAGGTTCAAATGTGGCCTAATTCCTAATTAGGGTTTTATGCTTGTGCGATAAGGAGAGGATTTTGCGAGTTATCTGCTGAATGCGATTTGATACCTACAGTCTGAGGTGAGTCTTCCTTCGCAGTATCCGTGGGTCGAAGGCACCAACGCCGGCCCACTAGTTTATGATGTAGTGTGATGATTGTCTTTGTGACAATTGTCAGTTATGTATGTATTTGCTTGATGACTCTGTGATTCCTGTTATGATATTATGTGGTAGTAGTAGGGGGTGAAATAGACTCGATATCTGGTTGAAATAGACCGAAGGGGACTGCAAGCACCCACATATGCTTGATAGTATTCAGTTGAAATAGACCGAAGGGGTAGGCAAGCACCCATATATGCTTGATAGTATCCGGATGAAATAGACCGAAGGGGTAGGCAAGTACCCATATATGGTTGGCAGTATGTTTGTCTAGTATATGGTATTTTGGGGGAACTCACTAAGCTTTGTGCTTACAGTTTTCAGTTTATGTTTCAGGTACTTCCAGTTCGAAAGGGAAGGGCCCGACTTGATCGCAACGCATCACCCTATGATTTCCGCATTTAGAGATTTTGAGAATTTTTACTCTGATAACATGTTACTATGATACTCTTTCGACTATTTTGATATTAGTGACGTATGATTTGAATGAAATTAAAAAAAACTTGTATGATTTTTTGGGATGTTACACTCAAGTTCAAATCAAGGTTGTAAAAAGTGTTCGACGTTAGTTAGTCGGTGGTCTAGGATTAGAGGATTAACCGGCTAGGTGGGGATTAATCGGGGACCCTAAATTGCTAACTTGTTGAATTTAAAAAAAATCAATATGCTAATATCATAACGAAGTTCGTAAATACCATTAATATCATAACAAAACAAGTTCTTATGATTAATACAACACTAATCATTCCTCAAACAGATTCTATTGAGATAGAACTTCAATGTGTTAAAATTTCATTGTTTACTTCTGCTTCACTCATTTTGTAGGCATGTATTGGTCGCTAGACACCTTGTAGTCAGTCAACGCCTAGGGACTAATCGGAGATTAATTGGGACTTACTCGAGATTTTTACAATATTGTTCAAATATGCAAAATAAAGTACATGAAAACAATGTGTGAATGTAGAAAGAGGAAGACTGACCTAGTAAAGGTTCTTTGTTTCATCATTTTTTCAAGCTCTAATTTCTCAAGAGTAAAAGATATATTTGCAAAATTCCCACCTTGCTCGAAGCTTCGTTCTGATGCACCAGTTGAATTCTTCAGTTTCAAAAATTAAAAGTGCACTAATGTTAAAACATTAAGATGGATGTACATTACTAATGAACCCGTACAAAAAGAAGTGCTTTTGATAGTTAGTTATAATTACTCTCAAGCTTTTACGAGTAAGGTTCTAAACAATGTTAGACATGACTTTGTTGCAACGTCAAACGCCAAGCTTTTACGAGTCGTGGCGAGCTACATCGTTTGTAAGACGTACCTTAAAGCGACAATTTTATATATAATTAATAATTTTATATATTTTTCTACTATTATTTATTTTTATATACATATATGACTTAAGACGGCATTTTATTAAAGAATGAAATCAAGTACAAGACTTGAAACCATGACGAGATTTTTAGAACTTTACTAAAAAATAAGAATAATTTGGTGTTACCCTTATGAAAGTTTTTGGTTACGTCCCTAGTTGCATAGGGAAGAAAGAAAAAAGGGCTCCTTTTTAGAAAATAAATCAATTTTTCTTAATAGTAATATTATAGAGTAAATTACACGGATTACACGGATCGTCCCAGGTGCTAAAATACACGTTTAGTCCCTATTTTTAAAAATTAACTCAGACCGTCACCCGTTTGGTTAAAAGTTACATGTTTCATCCATCGTCAATTTAAATTTACACGCTTCATCCCTTTCGATACATTTAATCACTGTAATGTCCTTTTCAATTTATTTATTATTATTTTTTTAATTTTTGGTTACTATTAATTATATTAAAAAGTTGTTTAATTACATTTGTGGGTCCACCTAACCCTTTTAAAACATTGAACCTACTATATAAATTTCTCTTTTGCTTGAGAACAGTTAAACACCACCGCCAAAATTTTGCACCACCACTAGAAACCCTTTTACTGCCACTGACCACCAAAAATGTAACGCAAAACACACATAAATGGAGATCTTAAACAGAGCACTCACACACGACCTACTCCTTCCTATTTAAATTCACCCCTCTATCCCAACATCGTCATTACTTTCGGTTTCTCTGACTCTGATGATGAATCACGATCGTCTTCTCCTATCCAGAACCAACAGTTGCAACAGTACCACCACAATAATTCCATCAAATGACATCTCTTCCACCTACTTTATTCCTGATCCACCCTCTTCCACCGGTGACAAACCCCTCTTCGGAAGAGGGTCTTCAGTAGGCTATGGTTGCTATATACCAATATTTAATATCTCCATATTTCTCTGGTCGATTCTCAACATTGTCTCAACCGCTGCAATTATTCGGTGGATTAACTTACCGACTCAACTCTCACTAACGTCATCGCTAAGTCGGAAAGTCACCGACACATTATTTGGTTTCGAACCTTCAATTTCATCGTCTAAGATCTCACCGTCGTCGCTTCCTAGGGTTCAGTAGTCGTTTAGATCTGAAAGTGGGTTCCAGATCTGTGTGTGTGTTTGGTTTCTCTATAACTCGATAGGTTGTCACTTGAAATCAACTCTTTGATCGAACCATACACCTTTGTCGATGGTGCTAAGGCTGAACTGAATTTGAAACCCTAGAACTGAGGTGGCGCTCTTCACCGGTTGTGGTGTGGTGGGTGAGTGTTTGATGGCGTCGGAGTTGTCTTGTAGTGGCTGGAGATGTCATCGGAGTCTGGAGTCAGCTGGTGTGGGTGGTGATGATGGATAGGAGATGTAGTGAAGAAGAAGAAGGGGGAGACGAGCTGATTTACTCTACCTTTTTTAAAGACAAAAATGCAAAAATGGTCCTTGTGGTTTGTCATTTTTTGTGGATATGGTCCAAACCTTTTAAAAATTGGATTTCTGATCCTTATTGAGAGGTTTGTTTGTGGAACAAGTCCCTGGAGTTAACTTCCGTTTGTTTGTGGCTGTTAAACCCCTCACGTGCATTGCACACGAGGGCATAAATGTCTTTTTACTTGAGGGACCAGGTAGGCCTACAAAGAAGAGGAAGAAAAGTGAGGATGAAAAATTGAGTCAGAGTCAAAGAGGGAGTCAAAGTCAGAGTGGTACTCATGGTGTAAGTCAGGAAGAAGGTTGTAAAGTTGGTCCTGATGGAGTTCAAAAATTAACAAGGAAATATGTCAGTGTAACATGTGTGCAAAATGCAAAAACAAAGGTCACAACTCAAGGACATACAAATGTCAAGGAGGTGGAAGTTAGGTGGAAGTTGAAGATCAAGGCTGTGTTTGTTTTGGCAGATGTTATTTGCTACTTTTGGAAGTGTTTTGATGTTAAAAAACTTATGACTTATGGTTATTTTGGTTTTCATTAGTATGATAAGTATTAGAACATATATATGGTTGCATATTTTGGGATAATGTAATTGCACTATATGCTTGTAGTCTATTATGTAATTGCAACATTGGTTATTATGGTTTTTGGTTATTATTGTGTATTATGTAATTACAGTCAATTATTCACATTAACCTTTCTTTCACCTTACAAAAAACTACAAAGAACCTTACAAACAACATAAGCAATTCCATAAAATTCATATTTATATCAGGAAGAACTGAACTACATAAACAACTTACTTTGACCTTACAAACAACTACAAAGAACCTAGGTCAAAGTACCAAAAACCATTAATCCACCCAAAAACCACACTTTTATCGATCTTCAACAAAAAAAACCCACCCCATTGCCCTATTACCTAAACCTAAACAGACCTTATGAACAAAATCACAAAAAACACCCAACTAGCCAACAACAAAATCTTTAGAGCTGTGCACCAAGCTTACATTCGGTTCATATTTCTCAATAGTCCAGGAATAATGACTTTAGACCTTTCACACATGGGGGGGTCAACCCATCCAATGAAGCGACAAGCAGAATCCTTCAAAAAGGGGAAAATAACAAATGTTATTTAATTACAAATCAAAATGGGTGCAAACGGATTTCTTTACCTTTTGAGGGCAAGCATAGAAACGTCTACCTGGGTTCTTCGGTGTCCATGAGCATTTAACAACAGCAAACTTACCACAAAAACAAAGAACCATCGTGTGATTAACTGACAAGACGACCGTTAACAAAGAGAAATGAGAGAAGGAAGAACAACTTGAAAGTTACAGAACAACGTTAGGGGAAGAACTTGAATGTTGGGGAAGTCTCTATATATTAGTTCAGGAATTGTAAAAATGGTCCCTCAAGTAAAAAGACATTTATGCCCTCGTGTGCAATGCACGTGAGGGGTTTAACAGCCACAAACAAACGGAAGTTAACTCCAGGGACTTGTTCCACAAACAAACCTCTCAATAAGGACCAGAAAGCCAATTTTTAAAAGGTTTGGACCATATCCACAAAAAATTACAAACCACAGGGACCATTTTTGCATTTTTGTCTTTTTTAAATGACAATTATAATATTTTTTGATAATAAACAAATGAGTAAATAAATAATAAATAACAGATAAATAGAAAATAAATTAAAAAAGAAATAAATAAGGGAAAAATAGTATTTTTATGTGTGGAGGGATGAAGCGTGTAAGTTTTAAACTAACGAGGGACGGCCCGAATTAATTTTTGAAAATAGAAACTGAACTTGTCTTTTGACACATGCACGATGGACGATTCGTGTAATTTACTCAATTTTATATAAATAATTCAATTATTAGTATTAGTATTATTAATTAAATAATAATTAATATTTTTAATTAAAATAATATATATATAATATATATATATATATATATATACCAAATAATTCAATTTACTAATAATAATTATTATTATTATTACTATTTATTAAGAAAAATAATAAATTATGAACGTAAATATCGTTTTAGAAAATAAATAATTTTTTACTAGTATTATTATAAAAACAAATCAATAATTACTATTATTATTATTATTATTATTAGTATTATTATTAATTAAATAACTATCAACTTTTATTATTAAATTATTATAATTATTAAGTAAATAATTCAACTCATCAGTATTAATATTATTATTAATTAAAATTAATAAAAAAATTACCAACAAAAATGTTATAATAATAGTTTTCTTTAATTAAATAATAATATTGTTATTATTTATTACGGTTTATTATAATTGTTGGTATTAGTAATAATAATAATAACAAGACGACGATGTCGGCGGCGGCGATTATGGCGATTATGATGATAATAATAATAATAAACAATTATAATAATAACAATAATAATTAATAAGTAAAAACAATTAATAATAATAATAATAATAATAAATAGTTGTATAATAAACGTGTGAGAAAAATATAGCAAAAAAATCAATGTTTGGTGCTCGAAAATTTGATAATTAGAATTGAAATGTTGGTTCCGATAGCGTACATGGGTGTACGTATGTGTATAATAGCTATAATTCGGTAAACATATTGTAATTGATGTGTAATATATGTGTGAAAAATATAAAGCGGAAAAACGAAATATGTTGCTCGAAAACTTGAAAGTTAGAACTATTTTATCGGAAATCCGGTGGTAATTAGTGACGAATTTCCTACGGATTCAAACAATCCGTCGCTAATACGTCGGTAATTACCGACGGACTTCCGACATAATAGCTCTAACTTTCAAGTTTTCAAGCACCATTGGTCGTTTTTTCGGCTTTATTTTTCTCACAACTGTGTAATATATCCATTACTATATATTCATCAAATTAATATACACATACGTACACCCGTGTACACTATCAAACATTTCAATTCTAATTTTCAAGTTTTCGAGCACAAATTTTTTTTTAGATGATAATCTTCCCATCACATTTGATGTTTTTTTTCCGACTAATATAGTTCAATACATATCGATTGAAGGCAAACGGGCAATAAGCTGCGCCGCTAGCCCTTTCTGCTTATGTTTTTCGAGCACAAAATATCTTTTTTTTTCCGCTTATATTTTTCTCACACCTTTATTATACAGAAAATACTATATATTGAACAAGTTATAAGCTAATATACACATACGAATACTCATGCATATCATCATAGCCTGTTACTCATCTTATGATGTAACATTTAAATGCATATTAATACATGTGATCCCGATGTTGTATACATGTATATGTACTATATTAGCTACAATTTGTTCAATATATATTAATTGATGTATACTAATGGTGTGAGAGAAATAAAACGAAAAAATCGACATTTCGTGCTAAAAAACTTGAAAATTAGAATTGAAATGTTGGTTCCGATGGCGTACATGGATGTATGTATGTGTATAATAGCTATAATTTGGTAAACATACTGTAATTGATGTATAATATATGTGTGAGAAAAATTAAGCAGAAAAAACGACGTATGGTACTCGAAAACGTGAAAGTTAGAACTATTCTGTCGGTAATAGATTGTTTGAATCCGTCGGAAATCCGTCGCTAATTACCAACGGATTTCGGACAGAATAGTTCCAACTTTCAAGTTTTCAAGCACTATACATCGTTTTTTCTGCTTTATTTTTCTCACACATATATATCAATTACAATATGTTTACCAAGTTATAACTATTACACACATACATACCCCCCGTGTACGCCATCAGAATCAACGTTTTATAGTTTTCAAATTTTCGAGCAAAAAACGTCGTTTTTCCGCTTTTATTTTTCTCATACGTTTATTATATATCAATTAATATATTGAACAAGTTATAGCTAATATACACATTCGAACACCCATGAACACTATTAGAGCTAGTTACTCATCATATGCTTTACCATGTACATGAGATCTCGATGGTGTATATGGAAGTATATACCATGTTAGCTATAATTTGTTGAATATGTACTAGTTTGCATAATAATAAAGGTGTGAGATTAATGCGAAAAAATCGACGTTTGGTACTCGAAAACTTAAAAATTAGGATTAAAATATTGGTTCCGATGGGGTACACGGGTGTATGTATGTGTATATTAGCTCCAGTTTGGTAAATATGTAGTAATTTATGTATAATATAGGCGTGGGAAAAATAAAACGGAAAAAAAAACAACATATAGAGCTTGAAAACTTGTAAATTAGAACTGTTTTGTCGGCAATCCGTCGGTAATTACTGACAGATTAGCGACAGATTATCAGAATTAATCACTAATCTATCGATAATTACCGACCAATTTCCGACGGAACAATTTTAATTTTCAAGTTTTTGAGCACCATACATAGTTTTTTCCGTTTTTTTTTCTCACACGTATATAATACATAAATTATTATATATTTACCAAATTATAGTTAATATACACATACCTATACTTGTGTACACCATCAGAACCAACATTCTATATTCTAATTTTCAAGTTTTCGAGCACCAAACATCGTTTTTTCCACTATTGTTTTTCTCACATATTTATCATACATCAATTACTATATATTGAACAAGTTGTAGCTAATATACATACACGAACACCGGTACACACATCTAGCCCAATG